CCTCTACGGACATGTACCAGCTTAGCCCAAATATATATATAATTTTTTCAAGAGCAAACACATAATACCATTCCCAAAAGTAGTTTAGCTTTCTCTCCAAAGGCCACTTCCACCACCACTTTCTGCTGCCTATCTTTCAGTACTTATCCTGCTCATTTGTATAAAAACCACTACAGCCTGGTGTGTCTATACTCTGAGGTTCTAGTTCTTTCATTGTATCCATAGCCAAAGCCTATGGTTTTTATTTGGCTTCCCCTGAGAACTTCTCTTTCCATGCTAAGCCCTCTTGCAGTTTCCGTCACAGAAGCATGTCCAGAGTATGATCAGAGGAAGGAAAATAAGCAGAAAAAGTAATTTTGCCTTTCTTTCATAACCTTTTCCCTGCTCTCTTTATAGTGATACTAGCAAAGCTCCCATGCACATTGGGAACTTCCCTATTGACTTCAGCCATCTTTCAAGATGTCAGTGGAGACTCTTAACTACACATTCCTTGAGTCAAGTTCTCTGGTTTTCAGTAACTTGTGCAGATTGTCGTAAGGACAGAAAATGTTCTTGGGACTCCATGCCTAGGAAACATGCTTCAGCTGGCCTGAAGAATGCCAGCTCAGAGGCCACACACCATTTCGTAGATGCCATACTTTTTTGGAAAAAGAGGGCAGAAGCTGCAGTGTCATTCCAACTGCTACGGAAATCTGTGAATAAAGTAACTCCTTTAATCATAACATTACAAGCCATTACTTTATAAGGGAAAATAACTTCTGAGACATGCATGGAGACCTTCCTGCCTACATCCAATAGGCTGTGTAGGAATGAGGCTCTGCTAAATATGTATCCGACTCCTTTTTATTTGGGGATTCCTTTCATCTTCTTAGCATTAGCAGAATCTCTAAATGTTTTGGTTTGTCTGACTTCAGGCTCTCTCCTCTATCTCATTGATAGTCTTTACACTTCCCCACCCCCCGTTTCGAGAAAGGCAGGAAAAAATAAGCTTTAGGGAGCAGAATTTCCCTCTAATAACCTGATTCATTGCAGCTGTCACACAGCATGCATCTGTAAAGTGTCAGATCAACCATAAGCTGTCAGACCCATAGACTAGCTTCCTCTATGATTGTCAGGCTCTTGCACTGATCTGTCTCTAACAACTAAGACAAAACAGCTATAATCATTCTCAGACATGGCAGTTTTCAACCTACAAAGTTTGGAAAACAGCTTTGTCAGTGCTGTTCAAGAGCTAGAGGATACAGTGTTTGCCTCCTGGGCCTCTTAAGTGGGATTATGAGCTGTGTTAATTCACAACCTTCCTTCATCTTTTTGACAAGGTATATTTCTCCATGGTAATGTTAGGTAAAGTTATCCCTCATTCAAAAATCAAAGGAACATATTCAAAGTAAAAGTGAGCTAATCCCATCCCTCTTAGATAAATAAATAGAACATAAGAATGAGTCCTGCTGGGTCTGGCTGATATCCATCTTGCTCAGTATCCTGTCTCTGAGATTTCCTGATAGCAGATGCTTAGGAAAGAAATGGGACACCTACAGTGATGGTTGTCTTCCTATATCCTTTTTGCTTGTTTATGTACCACATAAGGATTTCTTGAGAACCTTTACCTGTATCTTCATGCCTAATAGTAGCGGACAGATTTTTCCTCCATGAATTTGCCTAATTTAAACGCATAATTTTGGACATAGATTGCCCTCCGTGACTTTTTGTAGAAATAAGCTCTACAATTTATCTGCAAGGCAGCACCCATAGCTCGCACTCCAGATGGTGTAGACATGCCTAATGTCAGAAAGAAAACATCAAATTTATCAGAAGCATAGTCAAAGGAACACTATCTTTGTGCCAAGAGCTGCAAATCCACCAAAGATCCTGGATAAGTCCTCAGGCCACTGGCCAAGGCTGAGCTCTGCCGCACTGTGAGTAAACTTGTAGCAGCACCTCAGTGTCTTGTTCACAGCTCATGCAGACGTATCTGTCCTAAATGACATTGTAGACAAGGCGTCACGATAATGTTACATTGGCACATCTCCTAAGAGCCAAGAGAGACGGGATTCCCCTAGACAATTATCAGAACCTCTCTAGTAACATGCCATCTAAATTTGTCAAAATGT